AGCAGCCTTGGAGGGGAGTGGTTGGACTGCACGAAGTTGCGCCGCGGTGTGGGCGCGGGCGGTCAGCGTGACTGCAGCCTTAGTGTGATGAGGCAGCGATCAGGGGCTCCCACAGAGGCGCTAATGCCCACCATAGGTCTTTCTTATTAGCGTAAGCCAAGGCGATAAAGCTACTCGGTTATACATACACGATGGGGTCATGCCGACGAGCACAAAAGTCTGCGTCGGGGACAGAACGAAGGAGGCTCCGAGCAAGAAGAGGGTCTGGGCTTATTGGTTCCTCTGGACATTTTCCATAACGACCCTCTCTCGAAAACCACCGTATGCACTCTATAATTTCGGCTTATTATTCCATGCCAAGTCCATACGAACATGTGCATGCAGGTCGACTAATTTCGTTTCCACTTATAAGCCGTGAACTAAGTTTTTTCAGAGGAAGGCACCTCTGGGCTTACATTTTAGAAAAATAAAACATGAATTGCAAAAAATGTGAGCTTTCGCAAAAGGAACTCGAACCCCTTCTTTGCGAACTATGTGTAGAAAACTCCAACACACTCAAACTTATTCACTGGCCACAATTCTTGCCTAACGAATATAAAAGTTCCCTTCGGGGTTATGGGATCATGTCCAATAAATACAGGGTGTCCCAAAAATGTATACACATTTTAAATAACTGTAAACTTGTTATTAATTGTAATTTTATTATTTAAAAAGTGTAAAACTCTTGACAAGTATTATTTTATTTTTGTCTCACTGTATGTTCTCAAACTGACATCCACTTAATCCACACGCCGCTGACAGTGCGACGCAATGGAATCGCACACGCCAGAAAACAAGTCCATTTGTATTTGGGCGCATTCATGTTCAATGAATTTTTCTCATCCTCAGTTATTTGAAATATAGTGAAAATTCAGTGGAAAAACAATAAAATAATACTTCTTAATACCTTTACATTTTTGAAATAATAAAGTTATAATAAACCTCAAAGTTACGATTGCTCGAAATGTGTATAAATTTTTTTGGGACACCCTGTATATACTGAAATTCAAGTTATATTTAACCTGAGCTTGGAGGATGACAGTGATTGGTTAAGCAAGAGTAAGTAGCTTTTATTTATCGCATAAGACAACTCCCCTCGTAGATGGATTTTACTTTTTTGTGAAAACGAAACCATCTTACCAGTTAAAAGTTTTTTCGCTTTTTGTAAACCTGAAAAGATGACTTCACTCCCTTTCCAATCGGCAAGTAAGGAGCTTCTTGCAAACCGAGTGCTAATTAATGTAGAAATTAGCGCGCTCAAGAACATAATGGTTATCTTCCTGCTCAGTAAAACATGACATGGGGAATGTTCCGCTGCAATTTTTTTTATTTTAGTTATTTTTTCACATGTCTCCTGATGTAAAGCTCCGATGCTGGCACAAACAGAGGTACATATTTGCAAAGGCTAGTCTAAAGGCATGAAAACTTGCCGCAAATTTGAGGGCCTCTAAAGAATCTTCACAATCTTTCTCTCTCTAGCGTTCCTGACTGAGGCGTATACCAACATCATTCTCATCTAAGGCAGTATGTTAGAACACACTCAGAGCATTCTGCTTCCGTCTCTTCCCAGCCGATAGGGGTTTAAAGGTGGCGTTTCACCAGTTATTGAGAGGACTGACAGGCTTCCACCTGCCTGATCCATTCGCTTCAACAGTCGCCTGAACAGCATTAGTGCCAAACTGAAGATAAGCAAGTGTTTTCTGAAAGTGGACCGGATTGGCACTAACTGACAGGACTATCAAACACCTACACAGCCCTGTCAGCATAGGTTGCATCAACTGAGCCAGTGGGCATTCTCCGAAATTGGGTCGCTTTCTCCAGCGCAGTGCAACAAACAGGGAGTTCAGCCTGCCCACAGCCCTGCCACAAGCACGGTCAATACCCTCTGGGTCGGAGAGAGGTTGCGTTTTTTCTGGCTGCTGACAGCTAGATAAGTCGGCCAGATAGAGCCACGAGGTCACGAATCGATCTGGATCACCCGTATGCTGGGCGTGAATGCGCAGCAGAAGGAATAGATAACCGGGTGGACGTCTAACAGATCTGCCCCGGTCATTTATCCACACTAGCATGGACTGGAAGTCGGAAGGGGATGCGATCCGCAGGCAAACAGTTCCCGCCTGGATGAATTTGCTGGCATCGGGAGTGATATCTATCGACGTTCTTTTAGGGTGATCGGCCAGCAGGTTGTATACTTCACTGCCACCGCAGATCAGAGCGAAAGCGTGGTAGGTGAAAGTCCAACGATTCCTTCTTCTAGACGCATCAAAAATCTGACTGACACAAAGTTGTGCCAAACCCGGCTCTGCCCCGCCGTCATCCGTCCTGCCGTAGAGCGTGCGGGCATTCTCCCTCTCATCCGGTCCGCAAACCAGCAAACTCACGGGCTGCCCGTGGAGAACCATAGTGACGAGTAACTCGAGGTTTTTAAAGACCTCGTAATTTCCACTTTCAGGGCCGCAAACGGCATCGAAAATGAAGCATTGTGCTACGGTTGCGGCGTCGGGCTGCTGTACCTTGGCTGGCGGGCTGGAAACATGAACCAGCAACTTGTCACTGCTCATCTGCTCCAGGCAGGAGGGCTGATAGTCATCTAT